GAACTTTACCAAAAACATTTAATAAAGCAATTGGCCTTGATTTCCGTTCGGTCTTAGGAATTAAGATGATCTTACTTATCTTCCATGTGCTTGGGGATATGGCATATTTTAAACATGCGTTATACAAAATATTTAAAAAATCAGGATATAAATCAAATAAAATTTTAACAATCACAGAATGAATGTCATCAATTCCAGACGCAGCTTTATTTCTAAGACGTCGAAATACTCCAGCGATTTCATCACAAGTAAAGCAAGAATCATCATCTTTTAATTTGGAATCATCAATATTCGAAATATCAAACAAAAAATCATTATCTAAATCAAAGTAAACTTTAGCATGAGCTCTATTCACTTCTTCAAAATTTCCAGCAACGCCCTCCGGTCTCCTGACAATGACTTTATGTCTACTCTTTCCAGCTGCAGTCTTGTAGAAACCATCAAAATGGTTCACAGAATCCAGAAAATACTTAATTCTACGATTATTTCTTGCTTTTCTAATAAAGCGTTTATAAATAGCAAGTTCTTTCTTATATCTAATTTTCCTTCTTAATCTAGTAGCATCATCAATATTCTTTACCTGAAAACTTTTACTAAAAGCCCGTATTCTTCTCTTCTATCTTTCAAGACCAACGTTCCACCAAATAATTTTATTACCAACTTTTCTTTTAACCCTTAATTTAGTAACAATCTTTTTAACCAAATAAGTCTCAATTTCAGAGACTATACAATCAATTTCTTCGTAACACCCAGCATTTCTTATTTTCTGAATAAAATCCTCAATGACAACATTTACTTTTTTACAAAATTTGTAAACTTTAGGAACATTTCTACTTATAAAGTTTACACTCCCATTCTGGAGACAAACACCTTCCATGTCAAAGAGAATATATCTGTGGTCGCTGAGAGATTCTTCTTGACAAACCTCATACTTATAATCATTAATATCCAATGATCTCGAACCTAACACAAGGTCGGTCCAACCCTGTCCAACTGAAGATGAAAAAGTTGGGGTAAAATCTTGAATATTAAAAAGCACCAAATTCTTAAATGTAATAAAATCAAATAATAAAATCCCACGTGCATCTGTATAACCAGCCCCCCAACTAAAATACTTACAATTAAAATCACCAAAAACTATCATAAGTTTATCATAAGTATCTAAAACATTTTCCAATTTATACAAATTAATAGAAATATCTTCAGCTGGAGAGAAATAAATAGACACCAATCCATATTGATAGTGTAAAAAAGTAGCTTGTAGATCCATAATGAAGCTCAAGAATTTTGATTGCTTAGAATGTTGATCTGTAATGAATAGAAAACTGGCAGCCGAGGCATATAAAATTTAAATTCTTATTTCAGTAAACATGTTTTAACTACGAACAACTTGGCACTCTGTTTCTGCCTGTTTCAAAATGTTTACATTTTTAATAGCTTTGCTGTAAGAAGAGAGCAGCAGGAAGCATTGAAAATAAGTACGTTGTATTTAGAATAAAATCTTAATTTAGATTCAGTTTCGGTTCTCACTGCATTTTGATTGGATAATTAATACAGCTGTAAAATTATTATTGGCTGTTTGAAACACACTGATTGTTAAAAACAAGAAATATACAATTAACAAATATAAAAATAAAAATAAATAAACAATATGGAAAATCAACAGAACAGTAAAAAACAACAGAATAATTCAAACATGCTGTTATCAAATTGGAAGACATGTTTGAAATAATCTTAATTAACCTAACAAAAACGAGAACTGTATTTCAGAAATTATACACGACAAGGTTAAAAAAAATCAAATGGATTTTAACCTTGGCCTTCCTAATTTTACTCCCGATGCAACTTGAAAAATTGCAGAAATATTACCTTTAGCCAAATTAAAAGTATACTATGTTCAGTATAAATGAAAAGACTAAAGTCAAAAACAAATAGGCAGGCCTGAGTATTATCCAAATTAGATGTTTAGAATCCAATATTGTAGAACTGTGGTTAAATAGTATATATATATATATATATATATATATACATACAAACAGCGCACTAAAGTCCGGTACCACTCATTTAGCTGCCCAACGGCTGCAGCTATAATCATAAAGGTGGTATCCAGGTCTAGTAAAGTGGCTATATATAGTACAGTGATATCGCTTGTAATTCGCAATCGAAAGGACTGTAGTTGAAACCCCGCAGGGTGCAACCTTGTACTGATTGGCTTTACAAACAGATAGCACAATATGCAGATCGTGCACAATCGTGTCGTAACATGCATCAACTCAACGCAAATTGAGCTTGGTGTGCTACTTTGTGCATTATGGAATTAGTGTATCACGTCTGTTCACCTGACACAGTTATGAAAGAGATATTTCCACGGGGTTGTATGTTGAAGCTTATGGTCATGAAGCGATTTTTCAAAAAATTGTCATGGTGAGATGGTTTTACTTTACAGTGAATGCGGGCCCAAGGTGCGATGTATAGCACAGTTGTACCGCCACGTTTTCCTGCAGGTGGGCATCCTCCATCCAAAACCGTCCTACATGTTTTGAAACGTTCAAGGCTGTGTGACTAGCCAACTTATGGATCCGGCAGACCAACTAAGGTAGGGGGAAAAGTACAACCGGAAGACGTCTTATCATACGCTCTAACATATCCAAACACCAGAATAAGAGAGATGAGTGAAAACTGTGGCTTCTCAAAAAGTCGCATTTGGAAAATCCTAAATGAATTAGGTGCTCATCTACCTAATTCATTTAGGTAATCTAATGAATCTAATGAATTAGGTTTCTCTAATGAATTAGGTGCTTCGGCCAACCCCCCAATCAGACATTACTTAACGGGATGCCGAGAGAAGTTTCGCACGGTGCAACTTCGTCATGAACCACATAGAGGTCCAGCCAACATTCTTGGCAGATGTAGTGTAGACGGATAAAGCATACGTTTCGCGGAATGAAAGGCAGAATAGGCAGAATACCCACTACTGGGCACTAGAATATCCATTATGTTCTGCTGACGCTTGACATCAAATACTGTTTTCAATTAATGTTTGGTGTGTACCAACAAGCTAATCCGCCCACTATTTGACCAGGGTATGTTAACGGTCGCATGATATTTAGAACTTCTAGAAGGCGTAATACCAGATTTCGTTGAGAACCTGTCATTGCTTCTACTCCAGAATGGATGTTTGCAACATGACTGCGCTCCTGCGCGCAAGACTTTACAAGTGAAGCAGTATCAGATGGAGGAATTCAGAGAACAAATAAGTGGGTGTCTTGGTTTCGAAGAGTGGCCTCCCCATTCGCCTGACTATACTCCAATGGACTTTTTACTGTGGGGATACTTCAAACAGCAGGTGTATGCGACTCCTCCATAAACATTGCAGGCCCTTCAACGACGTATTACAGATGTTCGTGCAAACGTGTCAACCGCCATGCTACAACGCGTGCAACATGAAGTTCTAACAAGGGTCCAGGTGTGCATTACAGCTGACGGAGAGAAGTCTGAACATGGACAATAGATTTAGATTGTGATAACTAGTTTTTTTTTTTTTTTTTTTTTTTTCTAAGATCATTTCATTACGTAGCAGTGTAGGAAATCGCGAACAAACAAATGCGCGTTTAAAACGTTCTGTTCTTAACCTCCATGTCCACGAGGTGTCCTTTCGTACTAAATCGACGATGGTCTACTCTCTACTCCCCGTTAATTCACTTTTTCTTCCTATCTCGTATCGTTTGCGAGATAGAGACGCTAATCCCGACGTTCTCCACCACAGTTAGCTATCTCATCTAGTAGCGCATAACCACTTTACTATACCTAGATACCACTTTTATGACTATAGCTGCAGCTGTTCAGCAGTTAAACGGGTGGTACTGGACTTAAGTGGACACCTTGTATTTATTTGCACATTCGCCAGGGTTCGAACCTCGGACAAACTGCCATTGTTTAGCGACTTCACCGCTTGGTTGCTGGTGGCTCACTACATCAGATGAGTATGATAGATGTGGCAACACTTTTCATCCAAACTCCAATAATGCCGAGGTCTACACTAGAACTTTCCTGCCAAGCTGATTTGTTTGAAAGAGGCAACAGAAAAGAAAGGAAGGAGTGAGATTTAGATAATTTTCCGTTGTTTAAAAATAAAGGAAAGAAAAGGAAGAAAGAAAAAGAAAAGAAAATATCTTTTTTAATCATAACCAATCGATTCAGAATTTTGGGAACAATAAATTGAACAGTAAGAAAAAGACGATTTTTGAAAGAATTTTATAGAAAATATATGACCTTTAAAGGGTTAATTGATAATGGAATGAACTTCAGCGATATAACAGCTAGATTGGTTTTGGCATGAAAATTTATTAAAAATAAATAAATTATTAATTTTTTAAAGATGAAAAAGAAAAAATATCTACCTCTCAACTGCCAGTTTTAATAATAACGTTAATTCTGAGATACTAAAACTAACTTTTCCTTGTTTGTTTAACTTCACACCTAGTGCTGTTGATTAACGCCCAGGCTAAAAAAATTCTCAGCGGAAGCGATGATGCGGAATAAGCATGCCATCAAAAGTGATGACTTGGTCTTAAGGAGCTAATTTCAAGTTCGGTTTGAATCATTTGAATAGACATTTCACCAATGCTTTTGCTTTTAATTGCAGTCGTTTCACGTCCTCGTACCGCCAGTACCGTAAATTATACTTTATCAAACCATATCGTATCGAAAATGGCTTTTCTAATACATTAGCGGGGAAAGCAATTTTTTTAGAAAACACATCTTTTAATTGATGCATACCGGATTTATTCAAAAGGCGCAACTAATGATGGTTTCTGAAGTTGCCAATCCGTGACTAGTAACTTTACAAGACACCCTTTTTGTTACGGTGGAAGCGCTCTGGGGCAACTGCACGCTACGCTAAGAATCGAGTTAGCCCCGCCCATACGACATACTGCACTTGACCACGGGAATCTTCAGTTAGTTATTCAGGCATGAGTTCTGGGAATGCGACTGAAGAATCATTCTGAATACATTTGTGGGTCTGATTTCAATTACGTGCCTGTGCGGTTATCTCGGAAAACCGTTTTTCTCTTCGCGCAGTTGTTTGTTTTCGGAGAGAAAATTTTTCGTTTCACAAGATGGGATAATTTATACTTCATTTAAGGTAAGTAAATTATTCGCTTCATTTTAGAATTACAGCCTGGTAAGTTAATTTTTAGAATAGGTATTTCTCAAACAGTATCGACTTCTATTCATTGTTTTATATGCTGAACAATTACTAAATTCTGGAAATAATTGTGTAATGAGATTAAGAATATTCCAAAAAGAAAAATAAATCAAGCATTTTATGCCCATTATTCAAAAGCCTTAGAATATTTGTACATTTTTTGCTTTTTTTTGCATAAAAAAAGTAGATTACTTAGTGTTAAATTATCTAAAACTGAGTATGTAAGAAATACAGCTAAAATGCCAAGTATGTCTTAAAAAAAAATTTGAAAACTTTAAGATTTTATACTATACCCAAAAGGGCGTTTTTCTAACGTTTTGTGTGCTAGCTTTATTTATTAAATAAAAAAACTCAATTCAATTAAGCAGCAATATCATAAAATATTTAAAAACATCATATCTTTAGAATTTCTGATACACAGTCTCGCGCGTTGAAACTAATTTTTTTTTCTCCGTACAGTGAGTGTTTCCATTGTTCGCTTTGAAATCGTTGAGTTTGTTAATCAAAAATTCGTTAAAGTGTTACAAAATTTGAAACAGACAATAAAACAATTTCTAAATTTAAAATTCGGGCTTCCAGTGCTCATGTTCGGTTGGAGGACTACGTTATTCAAAACTGGATGGCTCTAGGTACCATTGTTTTTTTCAACAATGCGAGAGACTTTCATGCAGATTCTTCATTATTTAGTTTCTTTAAATATAATACATGGCGATGATATTTGGTGTCAACAGTTTTAAAAATTTTATTTTATTTTATTAATTTATTACTAATTAAATTAAACAATTTAATTTTATATTTTATGACCTTTCTATTGATTTCTACATAACCATAAAGCTGCAAATTTATGTAGTAACATGCCCTTTCTTTTTATGATTTTAGAATATTAGGCGGACAGTTTATAAATTCTTTCCCTTGGAATAGAAAAATGTAGTTACAAGCTACTTGGATCAACATATGTGAAGGAATGATTGACATAATTTGGAATTTTTCTTGTAAAGACGCATAACTGTAATGTTTGTGCCGTCAAATCAATGTTTAAATTTTTATTTAAAAATGTTTGGGTGTTCAAATTTCCCAAATGCATTTTATTGCCTGCTTGCTTATGAGGGTTCCTTTTAAGCCACCTTAGATATCTCCAGTGCCCACCGGTGGGTGATAACGCCCGCGCTAGCAAACTGTGCTTTAGATTAGACGTGGGCAAAAGCCGGCCAGCAGGTAAAATATGGCCCTTTTAATAACTTCATAAAATACGTTGTGCAACGATGTTTTCCTCTGCTTCCTACCCGATTTTGTACGCAAACTATCCAAATCAGCAGTACGACTACACATCTATTGTTAGAATGGAGTCCCTGACACTTAGCCGACAACATTTTAGCCGATTAACCCCTTAGTCGACAGCAGTTAGCCGACAGTTACATATAGCCGACGCGGACAGTGGGCTTATAGAACATTTAACCGACACGGACATTTAGTCGACAGGACAGTTAACCGACAGGAATATTTAGCCAACAGGACATTTAACTGACACAGACATTTAGCCGACGGGGATATGTAGCCGACAAGGCATTTAAGCGACATGGACATTTAGCCGACGATACATTTTAGTCGACAGCACGTTTGGTTGACAAAACGAATAGAAAAAGAAAAAAAAAAAAAAAAAACACGCGACAGTGTAAGTAAAATTTGTCCATATTTATCTGAAAAAAGGACTGTTTCCAGAGTACACAAGAATAAGTACCATACCTCTAGATTTAAAAATTAAACAGAAAAGAAATATTATTTTGGAATAGATTTTGAAATCAATTTAGAGAGTAATCAGACACAGGTCGGTTTGGTTTAGTTTATTTGATTATGACAAAGCACTCGAAGGTTATCTGCGTAAGGGAAGGGATACGTTCGTGGGGACTCTTTAGGAGAAATTGGTTCATATAACACGTTATACGAAATATTCGCAAAAACGAAACATGGCTATCCGTTTCATGGCTATCCGTTCATACATGGCTATCCGTTCAAACATGGCTATCTAAACATGGGAAATTCGCAAAAACGCCCATGGCTATCCGCCGGGATTCGAACATTGGACTAAACTACCAATGTTCAGTGTTTGACCGCTCGACAGTTGGTGGACTCGGTCTCTATAGTTCAGAAGTGAGGTATCAAATTTAAGCATTCGGAAGAGCGAAACGATTTTATATTTAAAGAAATAACTATAACAAAGAGGAAACAAATGTAACGCGGTAAATAATAATGAAATGTGAAAAATCTAAGACCTTAGAATTTGGAGCTTTGAAAAATTAATGTCATTTACTGAAGAATTAGAAATTTTATTAATGTGATATAGGCCATCGGAATCCAATTTACGTTACATTTGTTTTCGCTTTACGATTTTATATGGAAAGAATTATATAAAATTGTTTCACTCTTCCGACGGCTGAAATTTTCTTTCCCACTTCTGAAGTAGAGACACCTATCTCTGTAGCTAAATGTAGTTACAAGCTATGTGAATCATATCTGATTACTCTGGAAATTTATTTCAAAAACCTACTTTAAAAAATCTGATGTGTACACCACATGACTTCCTTATACGGAATATTAAATTATTTTTTTTCTTGCATTTCATTTAAATTTATTAGATTGAATTAAACCTACTTCGCCGATAGCGCATAAACCACAATAGAATAAATGCATCCTTTAAAATTCACTTTCTTTACCATAGCGACACTCTGGCGCTAGGTTTACTTAACAGTATTGTATTTCGTTCATATTATAACTCAGAATGCACAAAATTTATATCATTTAAAGAATTATCTAATCGTTGCCACATGTTCTATTCAAATACTATAATAAAGCTAGAACTATATATAAAAGAAATTAATCAAACAAAACAAAAAAGAAAGAGTTTTTCACAGACGATTGAGTATTTCTCATTCAATTAATTCAGTTTTCACTTCGCGACAACGCAAAAATACATAAAAACTCAAAATATCTGTATTAAAAATTACGAAGTAAATCTTAAACGCTTATTCCTCGAAAAAAATCCAGAAAGGATTAAGCCTGATTTAAATAATAAATGAAGGCGTTATCTTTGTTGTTGCGAAGCTAAGTTTCTCTAGATTGGCAACAAATCCGCTATCCTGCTGTTTCAAATGTAAACAAGAGCAATGGCCGCCATCAAAAACATTATTAGGCTTAGCGGCACTTAAACAATTTTAAAATTGTTGATAATTCTAAAAATATTGCATACAGATTTACTAAAGGCATAAAAACCTTAACCGGAAGATAAGAACAACATAATTAAAATCATTTTTAAAGCAAAAATGTACAATTTACAAACATATAAGAGTAAGGAAACTGAGATCACTGAGCCGGGTAACAGAGTGGATATATATGTAAAATATTTATATATGTTTGGTGCGGGCCGATTGCAACCAAAATACGAGGTGCACATCTACATATTATAGCAGTCCGATATTCAAAATTTCAACGTTCTGAAGGCTAACTCGTTTTTGAGTTATGCGAGATCGTACGTACGTACAAACGTTCGTACAGACGCCACGAAACATTCTCTTCAGAATTCATTTTAAAGCAGTTTTATGTTTTTTTTTTTGGAGAAAAAGAGTCTTTTATTTCTATCCTTACGTACAGATATCACGCAAAAACATCGTTAAATTGTATTTGAAAGAGGTCAAAATGGGATATTTTCGTTGAAATATGCTGCCTGAAACTTTTCGCGATTACAATACTTCCTTTTTACTTCGTACAAGGAAGTAAAAAGGTTGTTTTTGTGTCCAATTTTAAAATTAACAGTTTCTTTTACATTAAACTAGGCAAAAAATATAATACTTGTTCATAAACCATCTCGTTAGGTACTCTGCAAACAGCCTTTTTTTCCCCCCACATAAATATGGACAAATTTTACTAAAATATTATCGCATGATTTTTTTGTCTTATATGTACGAGTTGTCAACTAAACGTGCTATCGGCTAAATGTTCATGTCGATTAAATGCCTCGTCGGCTATATGTCCGTGAGATATAACTGCTCTGTCGGCTAAATGTCTGCGTTCGTTAAATGTCCATGTCGACTAAATGTCTCTGTTGGCTAAGTGCCCTTTCTGATAAATGTCCGTGTCGGCTAAATGACCTGTCGGCTAACTGTTGGTGTCTTCTAAATGATAGCTAACTGCTGTCGGTTAAGTGTCCGCGACAGGTTAGAATGCATGTACGAATTTATAAGCATGACTAATAGCGTCATGCGCCATAGGTGAATTAGAGATCAATCAGAATAAAGGACTCTTTTTCTTAAAACTGACTGTAAAATGGATTTCAAATGGATTCAAAATGAACTTTTTCGTGACATCTGTAAGTGCATATTTCCGTATGTACGAGTATCTCGCATAACTCAAAAACGATTAGCTGCAGAGCATTGGAATTTTGCATATGGGACTGCTATGACATCTAGTTGTGCACCTCCGTTTTTTATTGCAATCAATAGTACCAAAAAGTATATATATATATATGCACACACCCTTTTTCGGCTTAAAAGTCCTTACCCAGCCTTTATTTTCGGAATCGATGGTCGTAGTCACACACTTCCAATTACACAAGTGTTTTAATTGATGAAATTATTCATGTTTCGGTAATGTCAAATTAAAAAAAAGAATTATTTTAGAAAAATAATGAAACCTAATTTTGAATACGGCCTCCCGGTTCCTATGCTTATATTTGGGAAGGTTTTATATTCGTTATAAAAAACTGAAACGGTAAAAAATTTGAGCCCCATAAAGAAAAAAATTGACCAGGATATTTAATTTCAAAATTTTCAATTTTTTATGTCATTTGCAAGTTGCTTTGAGGGATCGGTTAATTAATTTAGAATAATTCGAGGAAATAATCTAAAATGAAGTGCAGGAAAAAAAATGTGTAAATAATTAGCTGC